CACGGCCCTGCCCTGCTGCCCGAGGGTACTTACCGAAGTTGTCCTCTGTGATCTCCTTCCTGTTGGTGGTGGTGATGACAAAGCTCTCCTCAGCGGCTATGCCGAACGTCTGCAAAACCAGAGGTTACCCAGTTGTGATAACTACGTACTCCACACGGATCTCTGACCAATGCAGAAAAAAAGAATAGCCATCTTTCTACCCACTTCACCACAAACTACGACTACCAAACTACCGAAGTTGTCCTCTGTGATCTCCTTCCTGTTGGTGGTGGTGATGACAAAGCTCTCCTCAGCGGCTATGCCGAACGTCTGCAAAACCAGAGGTTACCCAGTTGTGATAACTACGTACTCCACACGGATCTCTGACCAATGCAGAAAAAAAGAATAGCCATCTTTCTACCCACTTCACCACAAACTACGACTACCAAACGCTTTCCCCGTGTTCACTCAGAACACAGCTTAATTCTAGAGTTTAATTGAATTTGCTACCTCGACTGAGCCAAAACTCTCTGTACTGGAGTAGTTGGGTTTTCTACCTGCTTAAAAAGTGTTCTAGTGAGCAACAGGGATTTTAAGGAAGAGGAACTGTCTTGTGGGGAATCCCCCTGAGGGCTGAGAAGCGAGACCCAACAGCTCAGCTTCAGACTGCCCAGCTGCAGCAGCCACAGTCACCATCTAGGCACTGCCTCCTATTTAACTGCACTCTTCTGAGACATTAAACCACCCAAGTATTTCTTAATGTCAGATACACATTAAAGTCTTTGTTCTTCAAGTATACCATACATTAATAAAACAAAAATCTAGATTTCTTTTAGAGAATTTTTTACCATTAAACACTGCAGTGTATTCTTCTGAACCAAAATAATCTCTGCTACTTGGCTGCCTCCAACTTCTGAGGATGTTTCTGTGGCTTTGGATTTGCCATTCTGCTTTCTACAGACACTTACACACCCCTGCATCTGCCCTCACTTTTGCACCCTGATGTCCACCACTAATGTCTTTCTTGAAATAATAAACTAAATATCTGTACGTTCTCCTACCTTTCCCAGGTCTTTGGAATTCAAGTAAAAGTCAGCTCTGGTCCCCTTTAACCCCCCAGTCCTGCAGCCACCACTCTGGCTGGTGCCTTCTGCACTTTTAGCCAGGTTCCTGCACTCCCTGTAGCAGCTCATCCTCCCTCATCATTTCCCACACCCTTCTCTCCATCCTTACCACTCACACGCACAAGAACACTTTTAAAACACTGCTTAAGGCTGCATCAGAAATCTGTTTTCCATCTTTCAGTGACCCTCTCCCTAACTGCAACTAAGTTAGAGTTAGAATCCACCAGCAAAATGAACAAAATTGTCCAATTTCCCATAGCACTCAGTGTGAGTGAAGCAAATGGAGATGACATGGAGACACTGCTCCTCAGAGTCAGGACTCTGGAGTAATGATTGCTTTTCAGCTGTTCTACATTCAGATCACCTCTCACATTTCCACATGTGCAGGAAAAAAATAACAGATTGCTCAGAGGAAGCAAAATAAGCAGTTAAAAATATGGATACTAGGACGTGCTGGCTGGAGGCTCCTGGTTAACCCAGAACAAGGGCCCTGGTGAGATCTGCATTTGGAAGCACAGATAAGCACCCTCCCCCTCCAGGAATAATTACAGCTGCCCTGCTCCTCTGCCCTCAGAGCTGTGGGAAGGGTGCAGCACTCAGGGCAGCCCGGAGTTGGGAGGAGGCAGTGAGCAGCTCTCCTCCTCCTCTCCAAACACTTCCACACAGCTACTGGCAGGCCACGGGCCAGCCTGGCCACCCCAGCTGCAGGCAACCTGCTCCTGTCCGTGCCAGGGCTCAAGAGGGCACATCCTCTGTACCCTTTGGCCAGTTGAGCATCATTCTCAGTTTCAAAGCTTCACTTGTAGACACAACCTGCTTGTTCCACGTCCTCCTCTCCTCAGTCCCACACTCAGTCTCTTCCCACCAGGGCAGGCAGCAGTGAGGGGCTGCAGAGCTGCCCCATGATGTGCTCGTGGTCTCCAGGAGGAGGAGTTGGTCATCCCCAAATAGAAGTGAACCTACTGAGGAATTTACTTGAACAGCTGATGATGTTTCATTCAAGTCTGATGAACAATGTCTGCTCAAACGTTCATTCCTCACAAAGAGTCTCACACACAGGAGACACTGTGGTACCTTCTCTTGATAGCAAGGTCAGGCTTCACTGCTGAGCCCTTTCCAAAGCAGCACTGGGGATGCAGCCAGTTCCTGACCTCAGAAGGTCCATGTGACCACCCAGCAGTACAGGCAGATTACCAATCTGCAGGTTATTCTTTTGCAGACTGCCCAGATGCACAATCATGAGCTAGCTTTGGTTGTCCTCAGAATCCTGAAGGGTCCAACAGAATCCCTCTGCTCAGAAAGGCCTCTGCACATGCACAGTGGGAGCACATCTGGGGGTCACTGTGCTAGAACAGCTAAGCAGAGAACTTATTTTTTTTGATACAAAGGAGAAACCTTTTGGGAAAAAAACAGAGACAAGCTCTGAATTAATCCACAGTCTAGGAGAAAACCCAATAATGGTACGTTCTGTAAGAGGAGAGGTAGGTCTGAGAACAGGTAAGGGTTCCTAAACTTGTTACATACAATCACCACATACAAGAGCAACAGTCCAGATGGTGCAGAGATGAACAGCTGCACGCACAGGGAGGAGGAAGAAGCCTCTAGAAAGCAGAGAAGATTATACCCATGACCCAAATGTTGAGCAGTTTGGGCAAACCACCACAGTTGTTCACTGAGAGCCATTTACTGGCTGGGGAAGCCACACGTGGAGGCGTTTGGTGCCAGAGGGCTGCAGGGTGACAGGGCCAGGGACTGCCCTGAGCCAGCCCAGGCGGCTCTCCAGCAGATGGAAACCAGCCACCAGGCACCAGAATTTCAACCCAAACTCCTCCATTCTGGGGACTGGAGTGGCACAACTGCTGCACCCACACACCACGGTGTCCAAGTGCAGTAACCAAGCTAACAGAGAGTTTATAGTTCAGGTTTTGCTTCACGGCTGAGGAGGGCAAGGAAGAAGAGAGGACTCTATGTGCTCCAGCTTCTGCTACAAGAGTCAGTGTTGTTTTTCTAAACCTCCCCACACACACGCTCCAGAGGACAAGTGGATCTATCAGTATGTGAACCACCTCCCATTGCTCTGCCACGAGCCCTTGGGGTTGGGGGACAGTAAAAAAATTCATAAGGCAACAAGTACTTGCAAAAAAAAAAAAAAAAACCAAACAAAACACCCACAGTTTAACTGATACACCAAGAATATTTTACTAATAATGGAGGAATATTTTTCATCACAACAGCAGGACATGAGCAGGCTCCCAAACAGACCTCGCCACGGCCGAGTGCCCTGCCTCAGGAATCAGGTACCTGGCTGCACAGACACCTCTCTGTGCATGAACGCCACCTCAGCAGCAGCCCAAGCCCAGGTCTGCAGGCACCCAAGAGCTGTCACCTCCACACGGCCACCCTCTCCAGGCAGGTGTCACTTCACCAGTTCTTCCGTTCTCCTCTGACTCCTACGTACACAGCTATATCCACAGGAACTCTCCTGGGCCACGGGAGGATGCTCAGGGCAGGACTAGTCCCAACAGTTCAGCATTTCTGCACCCCTGGCAGACGTCACCACCCCACAGCCCAGCTGGGAGACCTGAAGATGAACAGGGGGCACCTCTGCTGTGATGGCAGAACCACCCCACCCCACCCCACACTGCCCGTGGGGTGGATGGAGAGCTGAGCCCGCGCTGAGGCTGGGCTGCTGGAGAGGAAACCCCCGTGGACACCACGCTGCTGGACAGGCAGCACTTCCACCAGCTCTCAGGTGGTCTCCAGTGGCTTCCACCAGAGAGGAGCACAACACCCACTTCAGCCAGTCTGCACAACGCCAAACCCACGTGCCAAGAGAACCCTCCTTCCTCAGCCTCCACCACTGCCCTGATACACCTCGGCACCACCAGCCTGGGAAGGTCTGCCCCAGCCAGGAGACCCGTTCATCATCCTCCTCCCAGGAGCTACCTACAGCCTCCCAGGAGCCCGAGATGTGTCACTGTGGAGTACAGCACCCAGGGAAACACAGAGAAGGTGCCCAGCTCCCAGAGCCTCGGGGACACCGCAACGATCCTCCAG